TACTCTTCTTGGTGCTGCTGCTGCTGCTGCTGCACTGCTTCCGCAAGGCCTGCTGCTGCTGCTGCTGCTTCTGCTGCGCTGCTTCCGCAAGGCCTGCTGCTGCTGCTGCTGCTGCTGCTGCTGCTCGTAGCTGCGGCTCCTTTTGTTTCTTTTGTGTTTGTACACTAGAAAAGATTCATTTGCAACTAAAAAGAATTAAAATTAAAAACTATTTTTCAAATTTGAAACAATTCAAAAAATTGTTTTTTGAATTTGAAATTTTTACATTTTTAATCTGCAAGCCTTCGGGCTTTTTACCCGCCAAAAGTTTTTGCATTTTGAAATAAAAAATAAGAACAAATAAACCATTTTACTTTATTTTTATTTTATTTATTTATTTATTTATTTTTATTTTTATTTTTATTTGTTTTTATCCTTATTTTTATTTTTTTGCAGATCTGAATTGGCTTTGGTTAGCCAGCGGCTGCAGCTGACAAAAGGTGCTGCTGCTCTTTGCTGCTGCCTGCAGCAGCAGCAGGGTTTGTTTGTGTCAGTGTTGAGTGGTGGTTTTGATTTATTTGCAAAAGAATTAAAAACAAAATTAAAAGTTCCTTTTGCTGCAGCAAACGCCCTGGTCTTCTCCGAGAAAGGTACTCCCAAACCCTAAACCCTAAACCCTAAACCCTAGCCAGTTCGCCCGAGGCTTTGGCGGCTACCCTTTGATACCAAGGGTTTAGGGTTTAGGGTTTAGGGTTTAGGGTTTAGGGTTTTGAGCGCAGCGTTTAGGGTCTAGACTGAGCACACGACTCGCTGCAGGACAAACGTAGGGTTTACGGTTAGGGTTTGGCGTTGGGGTTTAGGGTTTAGGCTTTAGGGTTTAGGGTTTAGGGTTTAGGGTTTAGATTTAGGCTTCAGGGTTTAGGGTTTAGGGTTTAGGGTTTAGAAGGGGCCTACAGCTCACAACAGTAGAGTTTCAGGGTGGACGTACACCCGGGCCCCACCTCTTGTTTCTCCTTTAGTTTTTCAGATTTTTTTAAGTTCATTTTAATTTCATTTTAATTTCATTTTAATTTCATTTCAATTTCATTTTAATTCCATTTTTATTTCGTTTTAATTTCATTTTAATTTCACTTTAGCTCCATTTTAATTCCATTTTAATTTCATTTAAGTTTGTTTTTGATTTATTTTGACATTATTTTAATTTCATTTTAAATTCATTTTAATTTAATTCTAATTTTATTTTAATTTTATTTTAATTTTATTTTAATTTTATTTTAATTTCATTTTAAATTCATTTTAATTTAACTTTAATTTAATTTTAATTTTGATTTAATTTAATTATTTTTGCTGCTTCAGGAGAGCTAACAGGAGAAGCAGCAGAGCCAATTGTCACTGCTGAATTCAAGGCCAGCACCCTCATTCAACTAGCAGTGCAGCAGCAGCAGCAGCGCCTGCAGCAGCAGCAGCAGCAGCAGCAGCAAAAGCAGCCGCTGCCGCAGCAGCAGGAGCTGCAACAAAAGCAAGCAGCAAAAGACACAGAACCCGCAGCAGCAGCAGCAGGGGGACTTCCCGGGGCTTCGTCTGGGGCCTTGAGCCCCCCCGTAGCAGCAGCAGCAGCAGCAGCAGCAGCAGCAGCTGCTGCTGCTGCTGCAGCAGGCTCAAATGCAGCAGCAGTGGGAGATGGCAGCAACGATATTCCCATGCTGCTTGCTGCTGCAACAGGAATTGCATTTTGTGCAAAAGAGAAAGTCAAGTCTGCGGTGTCTGTACACCTCAACCACAGAGACCTTTTCCTTGCCGCCTACTTCTTAGGAATAGACTACCCGGTATTCCTGCTGCTGCTGCTGCTGTTGTTGTTGCTGCTGCTGCTGTTGTTGTTGCTGCTGCTGCTGTTGTTGTTGCTGCTGCTGCTGTTGTTGCTGCTGTTGTTGATGTTGCTGTTGCTGCTGCTGTGTTTGCTGCTGTTGCGGGATTTTGTTCTGGTGGCATCTGTAGCTGCGCGTGTGCCACAGAACTGTTGCTGCTGCTGCTGCTGCTGCTAATGATGTTGCCGTTGCTGCTGCAAAAGCTGCTACTGCTAATGCTGCTGCTGCTGCTGCTGCTGCTGCTGCTTCAATTCTCAGGTTAGGCAACAGGTGGAGGGCAGCAGCAGGTTGTCTGAGGAGCCTGGAGCAGCAGCTGAAGCAGCAAAGCCTGCTGCCCCACCTGCTGCTGCTGCTGCTGCTGCACCTGCTGCTGCTGCTGCTGCTGCGCCTGCTGCTGCTGCTTGCCTTTCATCGCATGCAGAGCACTAAACCAGAGCCCTGGCGGCAGCAGCAGCAGCAAGTGCTGCTGCATCTGATTGGTCACTGCGCAGCAACGCTGCCCCTGCTGCTGCTGGCACCTGCAACACCGCCGCTGCTGCTGCTGCTGCTGCTGCTGCTGCTAAATTGATTCTTCTGTGCTTGGCAGCAGTCATATTTACAGCTTTTTGCCTATTTAGTTCACTTCATTGATTTCCTTAACGTGTTTTTTATTCCATTTCTGGTGTCTGTACACCTCAGCCACAGAAACTCATTTTTATGTTGCATACTCGATCTTGCTGCTGTTGCTGCTGCTGCTGCTGTTGCAGCTGCTGCTGCTGCTGCTAATGCTCTCGTTTCCTGCTACAGCACACTGCAGCATTGGGATGCTGCTGCTCACTACCAGCTGCGGCTGAGGATAGAACAACCAAAGCCCTCACCATTGCCCCAGCTAGCTGGCCACAGCTAGCTGCAGCTATCTAGCTAGGGCTAGCTAGCCACAGCTAGCCGCGGCTCGCTAGCTAGCTAGCTAGGACTAGCCAGCTGCGGCTAACTAACTGTGGCCAGAAAGCTGCAGCTAGCTAGCTACGGCTAGCTAGCTGTGACCAGAGAGCTGTGGCTAGCTAGCTACGGCTAGCTAGCTTTGACCAGAAAGCTGTGGCTAGCTAGCTACGGCTAGCTAGCTGGGACCAGAAAGCTGTGGCTAGCTAGCTACGGCTAGCTAGCTGG